TTGTAAACTTTAAAACCTCAGGGCTATGAAAAAATAAAAAAATAATAATAATAAAATAATTTAAAATTTAAATAAACTAATATAGATAAAATAAAATAATGAAAAAAAGAAACGTGAAATAATATCTAAAAACTAACTATTTATTTATTAAAGTATTTTTTCATAGTAAATAGTGTGAACGAGTTACTGATTTATTACTATTACTGTTGTCCTTAGATGTGACAACAAAATAATAACAAAATTTATATTTATATTTATATATGACAACAAGAAAAAAAAAATAATAACAAAATTTATATATATATTTACAGGAGTGGGATAGCTCAGTGGGAGGGAGAGGGGGTACTGAGCTTCCGATGCTAAAGGTCCCAGGTTCGAATCCCTGCTCTTGGCAGACAAATTATTCATTCTGTTTCATTGATAGTGAGGCGAACCTGGGTAGGTAGACTCTCCTGGGGCACACCCAGCCTCAATAAAGTAGGTAACCTTAATTAAAACAATTGATTAAGGGGAAAAACCTGGCGGTTAAGCGTGATCTCGGTCAAATCACCTCCTTGCACAACCGTAGACCAAGAAACAGTACTCTCCCTAAATAGTACTGAGCCCAAAACCCTTCATGGATTGTAGTAGTATAGATTCTTTTTTTTTTCTTTTTTTAAATTTTTATTTATTTACAGAATCACCTATTTAAGATTTTTTGAAGGAATGTAGGAATATAAATATCTAAAAAAAAAGTATATCGGTACGTATTGTACCGAAATGTTTCTAATATCGAATATCGCTCTCGATCAATCTCCGCTGGGTTTAGTTTAGTACCAGTAATGCGGTTGAGAGAGTAGTGCAGGGTTCTCCTGGAGTTCTGCTTTTCCCTCCATAGTTGGAGGGACAAGCCTATCTCGGAGTTCCCTCGCCTGATTGTAAATAGTGTATATAGGTATGTATGTGATTTTGCTGTGTTTTAATTTCCTTATTTTTAAGTTACTTTAATTTATTTATTTTATATTTGTTTTGTAAACAGAGTGTGAATGTTATCCTACTTCAATATAACTAATGTCCAAGTGACAGATTCTTGTAATACTCAATAAATAAATAGAATTAAATTTTTTAAAAATAATTTCGAAAATTTTTAATCTTTATAAAGAATATCGATGTAAATATCGAATTAATTGCAAAAATCCAATCACACAACCTCCTGTCTCTAAAGTGGAGGTTAAGTAGAACAACGAACTACTTGTTAACCTTTTTTCAATAAAGAAAAAAAATAAAACAGGATATACAGCATGTTCTTTTAAAAATATATACATATATATTAGTTTTACCTCATAATATGTAAATTATATTTTGTAATTTCTCTTAAAAATGTAATTTTATTTTTCATTCCGTATTCGATATTAAAATGGCAATCCAAAAATCATGATGATGAATCTTTAAAGTTGAATATGTCTAATGATTCAGTTTTAATACGTTATTTGTGATGCATTTGCAACGATAATAAACTGGCTTATAGCTGTTTGGGCGCCATAATTAACATAATGTTTATTTAGAGGGCTAGTTGGTACACGGAGGCGCATTGCCAGTATAAACAATGTTATTCCTGTATTTGTAACAACAATGAATGTTATTATTAATTATATAAATATGGCGGAAATAGCGGTGTATCATTATGGCTCTGTGGTAAAATTATCAAGGTTTTTTTTTTTTAAATAATCACAGTTTTAATATTTTAATTTTATTGAGTTTGTACATATTTAAAAGGATATTATAAATACATCTGTTGAAGAGTTTCTGATTTTATTTGTTTACTGTAACTATTGAAGTATTTTTTTCTCTATTTCTTTCCTTTGTGCTACATTACTCTTGTAAAGTTGATTAACTTCTAGTCATTGATGTTGACAACTTGGAATTAATGTTGAAACTCCACAAGAGAAACCGCAAAGCAGAGCAACGCCATTCCAGAAGGCTACAAGAAAGGATTCATTTCCATTTCAAGGAGCTGCAGCAGGAGACCTTCCTACTCGAGCTAATACCGTGAATTAAACATGTGACTCGCGGCCTCGGAAATATTTTGTTATTTTTATTTTCTGTTCCTTCGGCGGCTGATTCATCCCCTAGCGGACAGAAATGGCATCTTATCCTTTAATAGCAAACACGTGCACCGAGGCCTTGGATTAGAGATTGCAGTCGTAAGTTCCAGATGTGCCGCAGTTCCGTTTAATCCAAAGGTTAATACGAGGTTTTACGATTTTTTTTTTATAAATCCGCGATGGACTGCTTGAATATTAACTACCACACAGCAATTAAGAATTCCTAATAATTTTTGATGTCTTATTATACATTACCAATAAAAAAACAAAACATATAAGGATATTTGTATAGCAATGAATATTTTTATTTAAAAATTAACTTTATTTCTAGAGAAGCTTTCGGCGACCTGCACCATATTCATCTCTACAATATAACACATTTCAATAATTGATAATTTTAACAATTAACAGTACATGATTTTACATACTTTTTTTTTTTTCTAAATTTCTTTATTGAGTATTATAACAATCTGTCTGTTGGACATTGGTTATAGTGAGGTAGGATGACATTCACACTATATGTACAAAAAAATAAAATACAACATTTTTTTAAAATTATATTTGTCATGCAATTATTTTCATTCTAACGCTGTACGTACCTTATTTAACTATTTATAACCAACTGTAGTAGATTGGAACAGAATTTATTATTCGCCTCATATTTTGTCTAAAATATTTTTGAATCAAAATTAGTTGTTAATTAAGTAAAGTATAAATTTCATTTACCGATTTATTTAGAGAAGAGGGCTCCTCACTGTCCTACACCATTTCACTGAATACTGAACAATTACTGTCAGCACCATCTATATTGCACACGGATCTAGTAACTAAAAATTATCCAAGTTCCTATTTTTACTCCCATTTAAAAAAAAAAATAATTATGTTATGGTTGGCTATTATTTGCGAGTAATGTTGTGGTACACGAGCCGATTTGAATTTAGCACCTTATTTTGGTTTATTGCGATATATATAGATAAGTTTTGAATTTTGATCGGAAGTTAGATTTGTGGAGTATTTTAATATTATCAAAATCTATTTCATGTCTATGAATTTTTGTGTGATTAGATAAGGCAGTAGTTGTTTTTGAATTGGGTTTTAAGTTACTTTTGTGATTATATACTCGAGTTTTTATATCCGTTGATGTCATACCTATAAATGATGTTATAAACTAAATTTCTATGGTTCTGAATAGGTGTCGGGTTTTTTGTCATTTTCAGTAAATTTCAAATGGGGTGCCTTTGGTTACATTATCAATAAAAACTTGGTCTTGGGTTCGGTACTTTCTTAGAAAGTACTATTTGAAGGCCCATGTTTGTGCAGGGAGGTAATCGGACCAGAACTGTGATATCCGGAAGTGTGTAGATTTGCTTATTGCCAAAAAAAATACTTTGCAGATTGCAAATTTAGTAATCAAGTCAGATTAAATATTTGTGTTAAAAAAATATTTAAAAAATAAAATTTACACCGTGATACAAATAACAGAATTATTTTTCAACTTAAAATCATCTTTATCTTTAAAAAAATCTTCAACACAACCAATAAAAACATATTTGTCTTATTTAATGGTTAAAAAATTACATTCTTTCAAGTTTTTTCGGTGCACCTCTTGTAGCACCAAATCTTTGCCATGATAAAATCCTAAGAGATATTAATAGCGATGTACAAATACTTATTTATAGCCCTTTATTTTGTTTATTTTATTTATTATTAATTTTGAACGTCTTGCAGTGAGTGAAATCATTTTAATCTAATCCATGGACTAATTTTATTCTTCTACTAAAATTTATCCCTGTATATTATAATCTCTGTTTTGTTACCTATATTTATTTATATGCGTTTATATATAAAAATACTATATATAGTGATGAATTTTTAAATTTTTTCTTGCTAAGTAGTTTTTAAGATCACTAGTGAGAATGAACTAATGTGCGCTATATTGTATTACTCTTCTGTAAATATATAATATTACCATTGTTTACATAAGATGTAAATAAGAGACATTTTATAAATAACAGCATATGTAATATGGCCGTAATGTGGACCTCCAACTCCCTAAAAGGCTAAAGAGCACATGAGGTCACTCACCAGTTGGCTCTGAAGGTAATCCGGGTTCGATTCGGTTTAGCTACGAAATATGTTATAAATGTTAAAAATTATTACGTTTCATCGATGCAATTATTTAATTAATATTAAATGTAGTGTATAATCATTTGTATTGTGTAAACTTGATGTTTATTGTGACATTTTTTGTAATAAGGATAAAATAGGCGTCGTTCATTTAGAAGATAAAATATGAGCAGCATTCAGTTGTGAGACAATATAAAAGAAAACCAACTATAACGATATTTTTACTTTCACTTACGTATATATGTAATATATAGTAAGGGTAAGTATTGCGATCGTGAAAATTTTCGAATCTCAGTTTTCAACGGAAATACATGTTTTGAGGTCCCCCTGATTTCAAATAACCAAGTGTAGCACAATGGTCTATGTGTGTATGTCTGTCCGTGTGTGTGTGTGTTAACAATCTAGCTCAACGAAAAGTAGTGCGAAACTGATATTAAGTATTTAAGGTTTGTATATGGGACGGATGTGACAGCAACTTTTTAATATAAAATACATTTCTACCACGTTTTGGTTTTAAATTAAGTGACACAAAAAAGTTTACATAATTTAAATTTTATTTTTTTAAGATTTAATTTAATTTTGTAATACGCTGAGAAAAAAAATGGCAGCTAGTCAATTTTTAAGCAGGCTATTCAATAATGTTTTATTGTTATTTAGCAGCCTAAATCGAAATGAAACGAGACTCAAGTTACACAGAACATACTACACTATGTTATATTATATTTCTTCGCATATCAGTAGTATGCTTTGTATAATATTGCTATAATATAAATATAAATATACAATAACTCACATTAGGTCAGGCCTGAAGTGGTGTATGAGGGCACAGAATGCTAGGCCGTCCCTCCAGGAGGTGGTCATGTTATCCACCTTGACTCCAGGATATCCAGCGGTCACTCTTCGGCACCACGTCTCCAGGGCTTTCGTTCCGCGTCTTTCGCCCATTTTCTGGAAAAGAAAATTAGAAGATCTATATAGTAAACCATCAGTATATATATTAGTTAGTTTCTTATAATTAAAATAATTTCTAAACCAACAGATAAGTGTTTTAGGAGTCAATTAAAACGTAATTTGGAGGATTTTGGATTTTCCAATGTCGCTGATTTAGCCCGAGCCAGATACCTATCCTTTCATAATAAACTCCAGTCCCATCCGTTTTGAGAAGGATATACATTTTTGTGAGGTTTCAATTAAAGAGAACATTCAAACCAAGAAAAAATAAGAAATACTAAACAATTTTTGTACAATTTTATTTTTATATCTAACGTTTTTCGACAAGAAACCGCTCGACGTTTCCGATTACTACACCACTTACTAGACAAACGCTCTAAACTTCCAATTTATTACAAAAGACTCATATACATGACTACAATAAGGCCTATTTGGACTTACGGAGTTGAGCTATGGGGCTCCACTAAACCATCGAATTACTCTCGTATCCAATCCTTACAATCCAAAACCATTCGGAAAATCCTCAATGCTCTCTACTTTGTTACAAATAAAACCATCCATAATGACCTTAATGTTTCTTATGTTTCAGATCAGACCCTATCCAGATACCTATCCTTCAGAATCATCGCAATCCTCTCATTTCTAACCTTGCTTCCTCTTCAATTCCTGATAACCCTCCGAAGCGTCTGAAAAGAAGATGACCCCGTGATCTCCTAATGTAGACATATCATTAGAGTGCTACCATTGGGTAGTTACTCAGCAAGTGTTTTCACGTCATTATATCCATATGTTCAAATTTACTATATATATTTCTTTAATACAGTTGTAAATATCAATAAAAAATAAAAAATTACTTTTATCCTTTTTTTTTGGTATTAAGAAATAATAATTAAAAAAAAATCTGACGTTTTTAATAAGATGAGTTAATTTTTCCAGAACTTTAACTTTGGTGCCTTAAGACTATATTTGAGGGGAATAAATAATAAAAAAGGGATAACTCTAAATACTAAAAATTGGAATAATAAAATAAACAAATAGACTATAAAATCTTTGCAATTGATATAATAAATTTCTGTCAAGTGATTAGCTTCTTTTTAGCTTTGTTTTTTTCAGAGAGTATTTATTTTATCCTTTAAATAAATTTAAAAAACTGTACCACTACAATCATTAAAGAGTCTTGGATTCAGTACTTTGTCAGGAAATAAAGTTTCTAGGCAACGGTTGTGCAGGAAGGGGATCGGGCAGAGATCACGCTCAACTGTTAGCTTTTCCTTTTTGATTAATTATTAAATTAAGAGTACCCACTGTACAGAGGTATTAGTATAATATGAGGTACACATCTAGCTGATGTGACAGAATAAAAAATTATCTGTCACAGTCGGACTCTAACCTGGGATCTTTAGCAACTGAAGACTTACAATAGTCATAAAACTTTTTTAAATAGTCTTATCTTTTATTTATATATATATATATGTTATAAATGGTCTAACCCATAGGTGGGGAAGCTTATTGCTAATAGAGGCCGCAACAAAACTTTATATTTCACTGTTGCTATTTTTATTCATTACTAAATAGACACAGCCTCATTCAACTTAATTCAATTAATTTCCTAATTTCTGTAACTTAATTAATTCCAGTGTTAGCTTAATAAATATCGGGCAAATACGTCTGGAGGCCGCTACTACGTCACGGAGGCCACATGCGGCCTATAGGTCGCAGTTTCATCACCTATGGTCTAACCAATCTATTAACTATTTATAATTACAGCCATATTTTAAATATATAACATAAATATAAATAAATGTCCTCGATAGATGAAATCATCCAGATCGAATTAAATATCTTCAAGGCCTTATCGATTAAACTTCGCCTATATTTTTTATGAAAACACCTAGATCGACCGAGAGAAATAAAGGACACCTATGAGTTATGAATGTATAATATCGGTATCCAATATCATATGATAATATTTTATCAATTATTATGAACGAGGCAATATCCGTATCATGAGTCTACAAAGACAGCTATGAGATAAGACTGGTGGTATTTGTTGAAGTTTCCGAATAATTAACAACCGCTATCCTTGAACAAAGACTTAGACAAAGGCTGGGATATTGCTGGAGGTCGAGGCAGACAATAGGCAGTTGAATTGTAGGCATAAAGCTCCATTTTGTACAGAAATGTTTGAATCAGTGGCGTAATCAAGCTTGATTGCCGGCGTTTTAAATGTGCGCTCCCCGCACCTTAAAACTCCCCCCCCCCCCTGGGCAAAATATAATCTAACGCAAGTCGTTAGTTCTTAAACTTAGGGATGGCCATAGATAATCGTTATTATAGAAATATTCCCTTCCGATATTCGATATATTTGCCATCGATAGTATTTAGTACGATATTATCAACTATCGATATCGTCACGTCAATATTATTAATTTGAAAATAAAAACGCTGCAAATTATTTCACAATGGTTTATTATTTCAAAACAAATATAAATCTAAAGTGACATTACCTTGCAAGTTGCAAAGAAAAATAAATAAAAGATGATTCCAATTATAAGACTAAACTTTTTTTTAATCATTAGTAATATACTAAAAAAAATTAGCATTACTTCAGTAACACATTCAAAAACCAAAACAAAGGATATAACCTTTGCAGTAGAACATCAGAACAGCAGAAAAAAAACAAAAAAACTCGAGACCATATCTTTGACCTTTGCTCTTAATTGTCCGATTTTAACGAAGTTTTTTTTTTAGGAAATTCCGTAAAATTAAAAAAAAAAAACATTATTGAAAATAATAAATCAAAAATATTTTAAAATCGCGATATCTCTACTAATAGTGCTTTGATTTCGATGAAACATCCTTCATTTTTTAGGAAATTTAAATACCTTTGAAACATCTTATCACAATATCGACAAAAAAATGTATACGTTTTGAGTTATTCGGAATTTAATTTTACCATCCCTCGTAACTTTTTTTCCAGCTTCTTTTCGTTTAAGTATGTTATATAGATAACTTTAAAGGGCGTCGAGAAAATGTCTTTAGCGAAGTTTCATTGAAATCTGTAAATTCGTTTAGACGCAACAATCTACAGCAACGCAGGTTTTTCGGCCGCCATTTTGAAAGCAATAGGCAGATAGTAGTATCGATGAAGGAGGATGATCCTCGGGTGACCTCTGATTTTATACCTAAATTTGAAAAAAACGGTCGAGTAGTTTCGGAAAAAATGCGCGGACGGCGGACAGACAAAAAAATGTTTATTCGTTTTTCGAATTCTACGCATCCTGAAACGTGAAGCCTCAAATTTTGAGAGGGGTTAAGTTTTTGAATTTTTCGATCGATCACAATGGTTCGCTATTGAAAATAATAAACCAAAATTAAAACCATCGTTTTCTGAAAGCAGAATTATATGATCGTTAGCAAAAAATATATACTTATCTCTCCTCTTTCTATAGAATATAGTACTTTCATCCTTAAGTAGAGTTGATCCTTCTCACTCATTAGATTCAATTTGCCAAATTTGTCAGTTAGAACCTTCTCAAACCAAGACCACGAATTGTCAAAGAAATCTATGTAGCATGAGAATGAATTAGCATTTCGCTGAATCCGATATATGGGTTAATAATGAAAAAATATAATGATTGATGGTACATCAATCTTAACTAATATTATAATACGAATATTACAAATAAAATAAAATTATACAAACTAAAAATAATGTATATAATTCATTTATAAAAATTGCAATATTTTCTCTTACTAACTGCAGTTCGTGCACTGAAGATATTCAAGTACTAACACATTTGGTAGGTAAGTGTGAGGTATTTATTTTTTGGTAGGCAACATGTTATATAATTAGTCAGCAAATTATTTACATTCTGCAAACACAAATGTTACCTCCCCCCGCCTGGCTATGTTTACCAACATTTTTCTCTAGGGAAAAGGACAACTGAGAAATCCTTCCCTGACACCTTACACTTACCTACCAAATGTGTTAGTACTTGAATATCTTCAGTGCTTGAACCACGGTTAGTAAGAGAAAATATTACAATTTTTATAAATGAATTATATACATTATTTTTAGTTTGTATAACTTTCTACATATTTCATTTGTAATATTAGTTAAGATTCATTTACCATCAATCCCTATATTGTTTTCATTATTTACCATTATCGGTCGTATAATATTATATATCTGATTGTATATAAAAATTTTCAGCCTTGATGATGATCCACATGTTTGGGTTGAAACGACGGCACTAATAAAAACCTTATGATGACTGCTTCCTGAATATTTATCATCTATGATATGTAGAACATTCGACTAACTTCCTTTAATAATTAATTATAAGGGTTACTTTCAATTATCAGGTTTTTCGAGATGGCAAAGTTTATAAGACGGATCCCATCATTATTACAACATTCATGTAAACTTTTTTTACCAATCGTCAAAAAATAAACTCTATCCATCTTTGCGTTTGCGTCTCCTACAATTATTTTCATAGAGTTTCGCGTTAATTTATCATAAACCCGTTCGGGTTTACCTAAAATTCGCATTTGATTTCATCATCAATGTCTTCGGTCGGACAATGTATGTTTATTAACGAGAGTTTAAACCTACGTCACATCCTCTTGCAAGTCTGGAGGGCTCATTTATGGTTAGCGAATCCATCGGACTTAGCCGAGAGGAACTTCCAAGGAATTTCCAAGGAATTTCCACCGACCAAACGCGCATTCCGTGGGACGCTGTACAAAAAAAAAAAACTTTTTTTTTTTAATTCATGATATTTACAACTGTATTAATAAATATAATACATTTAGCAAATTTGATAACAGAAAATAATAACATGAAATCACTATTCCCATAACAATTTGCTAAAATTGCTTGGTAAAAACAGGCTTTTTGATTATACTTAATTTAAAATCATGAAAAACAGTATTTTTAATCCTGTCTGAGCCGATTAAATTCCACTTTAAAAGCATAAGAAATTTGAAAAATC